AGAGAGAGAGAGAGAGAGAGAGAGAGAGAGAGCCTTTCTATTTGTGCTAGCTTAGCTGATTCTGAAGCCCATGAAACCACCAAACCCTTCTCAGATCTCCTTTACAAACCCTTTTGGCAGCTAAGCTGATTCTGATGCCCTCACCACCCACAAGAAATAGTTTTTGCTTCTCCTCAAACCCAGAACCAGTTCCTCCATTTGCTCTTCTCCAAGTCCTGCCACACTGCCAAACCAAACGTATGCTACAGACCCTTTCAGCTTTGCATTTAACCATTTCATGCAGGCATCACTGTTTGGGTTTAAGAGGCTGAGACCATATTCCTTGTTGTCTTCATGACGCTGATCCAGGTACATAGATGGTATGGTTGGTCCAATCGTCCTCAATGGCCAAAACTTTGCCATCCAATCCACCGCCTATGCATAAAATGAGAAAAAGAAAACAAAAGAAAGGAAGTGTTATCTTAGAAGTTCGAATCATAAGGTCAAAGTGGGAGACTTAAAACAATTCATAAGCTCGTCATAGCCCTTGATTAGTGAGGCATACAGTGAGAGATAATTAATTTGGTGGACAAAGGAATGAATTCAATTGGAACCGAAAACAACGAAAACCACCTCAATTTATGATGTTGATCACTAAATATGCATAACCCCACTACACTTATACCTCATGTATCACTAATTTTGTTTACCTCTCTTGTTCCAGCTCTTAAATTGTGCTGCATAATATTATCTGCTATTCCCTTTAGTTGGTAGGAGTTGGAATTAATGCACTTCCTCCATTTCCTAGAATATCTCTATTTATTACAGCAGCTGTAGCTGTCCTTAATTAACTTGGTAGAGTTCCTATGTAATGTCTTTTAGGTTCTCTAGGAAGAATTCTCTAGAAAATTTGTTCTCTTAAAAAAAAAGCCTTTGAGCTTATCATTGTAAGAACAGACGCTAAGTGAATCAGAATACAACGAGCTCTGCTGAAGCAACTCATATTTCCAGCACCTCGTATTCCATCCCAAAACCAACAACTGGTATCAGAGCAGCGTTCGATCATATCTGGGCGTTGAAATCAACTCTAGAAGATGTCATCAGGAGCCAAAGAAGGTCCATCAGTTTCCTACTCTATTCTCCCAATCTTTGGAGGTGAAAATTATGATTTCTGGAAGGTGAAGATGAGAACTATACTACTGTCAGAAGGACTTTGGAGCTTCGTTGAAAAAGGGCTTCAAGAACCAGAGGATCTAAGTCAACTTCCAGCAGCAGAAATAGAGAAGTTCGAAGCAGAAGTCATGAAAGATGCCAAGGCCCTCTCCAAAATTCAGAACGGAGTCACTTCAGACATTTTTCCAAGAATCGCAAGAGCTAAAACAGCAAAAGAAGCCTGGGATATATTAGAAAAGGAGTTTCAAGGTGACAGCAAGGCCATAACAATCAAGCTACAGACTTTGCGCAGGGAGTTCTATAATATGAAGATGAAAGAATCTGAATGCATCCAAGATTATGCTTCCAGACTAGCTGAAGTGGTGAATCAAATGAGAACACTTGGTGAGGATATCTCTGACCAGAGGGTTGTTGAAAAAATATTGATCAGCTTGCCTGAAAAATATGATCCCATTGTTGCTGCTATCGAAGAGTGCAAGGACATCACCACCTTATCAATTGAGCAATTGATGGGTTCTTTAAAGTCTCACGAGCAGAGAAGGTTGACACGAAATGATCAATCTGTTGAGAGTGCTTTCCAGTCAAAACTAAGTTTCAAATCTCAAAAGTCCTCCAAGAAAGGCAGTTCTAGAGATGACCAGCGAACGGGGGAGCAAAGAAGATGGAAGAAAGGAGAATCCAGCAAAAGAGATGAATCCAAGAATGGGAAAAGTACGAATTCTGATGATAATCAGCCTTCCTGCAGGATTTGTAACAAAACAAATCATGATACGTCAAATTGTTGGAATCGTGGAAAGCCAAAGTGCCATAATTGCAACAAATTTGGGCACATTGAGAAGAACTGCAGATTCAAGAAAGCAAACCAAGCAAATTTTTCTGAAAGTAAGAATGATGATGATGGAAATGAAAACTTGTTCTCTACTTGTCTATCTGCCCTTGAGGAAAAAGAAAGCATCTGGTATCTTGACAGTGGATGTAGCAATCACATGTCAGGAAATGAAAATATTTTTCTTGATGTGGATACTTCTGTTACTCCAAATATCAAAATGGGTAATGGTGCTATTGCAACAACCACATGTCAGGAAATGAAAATATTTTTCTTGATGTGGATACTTCTGTTACTCCAAATATCAAAATGGGTAATGGTGCTATTGTGGAGGCAAAAGGAAAAGGAAGAATTGTTGTCAAAACTAAGAAGGGAGTAAAGCAGATTCATGATGTCTTGCTTGTTCCAAAACTAAGTCAAAATTTGCTTAGTGTTGGACAACTTGTGGAGAATGGCTATCGCCTTGTTTTTCAAGATGGTACATGCATCATTTATGATAAAAATGCAGCTGAGATGGTGATTGCGAAGGTGAAAATGGAGAAGAGTAGAAATTTCCCCATTGAATTTCAATATGCTGAAGTTGCTGCCATGAAAGCTGATGTTGTGCAGGACTCTTGGTTATGGCACAAGAGGTTTTGTCATCTAAACTTCCAGGGCCTGAAGCTACTCCAGAAAAATAGTATGGTGAACGGGCTGCCGGAAATTAAAGAAACAACAGATGTATGTGAAGGGTGCATTATGGGCAAACAACACCGTAATTCTTTTCCTCGACAAAGCACGTGGCGAGCAAAAGCACCGCTGGAACTTATACACACAGATATCTGTGGCAAAATGCAAACTCCATCTTTAAGTCAATACAGGTATTTCCTCACCTTTATTGACAACTTTTCGAGGATGACTTGGGTTTATTTTTTGAAGGAA